TTCTGTGCATGGGCCACAAAGTCTCAATCGCACTGTACATGCGCGCCCGCACATAGTATTTTGTGGAAGAGCCATACTCAAGGGGCTAAAGAGCTGCATGTGGCTCCCGAGCCGCAGTTTGCCGACCACTGACTTAGGTGAAATGAACCAATTTCTTGAAAGACAAACTACTAAAACTCACACAGAAATAAATAACTTGAATAGCCATCTGTTTATTAAAGAGTTGAATAAATAATTAATAACCTTCCAAAGATAGGCATCATCAGGACCAAATCCTACCAAACATTTAAGGATCACCAGTGAACATTTAGAAATCAGTGAATTCTACTAACCATTAAGGAAGAAATAATACCAATTCTCTACAATCTCTTCCATAATTTAAAAGTAGAGAGAACATTTGATTCATTCTATGAGGCTAGTATTACCCTAAGTCCAAAACCAGATAAAAAACAACACAAAAAAGGAAAACTACAGGCCAATTTCTTATAAACAGACACAAAATCCTCAACAAAATATTAGCAAATCAAATCCAACAATGTATCAAAAGAATCATACACCTAACAGAGGAACTTATTCTAGGTTTCCAAGGCTGATTCAACATTTGAAAATTAGTCAATATAATCCATCATTAACAGACTGAAGAAAAATCATATGATCTTATCACTTGATGTATAAAAGGCAATTGATAGAATCCAATACCCTTGCATGATAAAAACTCTCCAACTAGAATTAGGGGGGAACTTCCTCAATTTGATTTTTTTTTAAATCTACAAGAAGCCTACAACTAGTATCATACTTGACGATTAAAAAGAGGACACTTCACATAGCAATATCTTTACTGATACAGCACCTAGGGCAATGGAAACTAAGGAGAAAATAAACAAATGGGACTACATCAAAATAAAAAGCTTCTGCACAGCAAAAGAAACCATCAACAAAACAAGAGAGCCCACTGCATGGGAGAACATATCTGCCAATGTTATCACCGATAAGGGTTTAATCTCCAAAATTTACAGGGAACTCATACAACTTAACAAAAGGAAGATAATCAATCCTATCAAATAATGGACAAAGGACTTAAATAGACACTTTTCGAAAGTGGACATACAGAAGGCCAAGAGACATATGAAAACATGCTCAAAGTCACTAATCATCCAAGAGATGCAAATCAAAATGACAATGAGGTACCATCTCACACCTGTCAGAATGGCTATCAACAACAAATCAACAAATGACAGGTGCTGGGGAGGATGTGGAGAAAAAGGAACCCTCGTGCACTGCTGGTGGGAATGCAGACTGGTGCAGCCACTATGGAAGACACTATGGAGTTTCCTCAAAAAATTAAAAATGGAACTCCCATTTGACCCAGTAATCCCACTTGTAGGAATATATCCCAAGAAACCAGAAACACCAAAAAGAAAGGACATATGCACCCTATGTTCAGAGCAGCACAATTTATAATAGCTAAGATTAGGAAACAGCCTAAGTGCCCATCAGCAGATGAGTGGATTAGAAAACTGTGGTACATCTACACAATGGAATACTATGCTGCTATAAAAAAGAAAGAAGTCTTACCATTTGCAACAGCATGGATGGACATGGAGAGCATTATGCTAAGCAAAATAAGCCAGTCGGAGAAAGATAAATATCACACGATTTCACTCATTTGTGGAATATAATGAACAACATAAACTGATGAACAAAAACCAGATCCAGAGACAGAGAAGCATCCAACAGATGCTCAAACTTCAGAGGGAAGGGGGGGAGTAAGAGATCAACCAAAGGACATGTATGCATGCATATAAGCATAACCAAGGGACACAGACACTAGGGGGGTGAGGGTATGTGCTGGGGCAGTGGGGGTGGCCAGGAAGAGGTCAATGGGGGAAAAAGGAGACATATGTACTACATGTAATACTTTAAACAATAAAGAATTTAAAAAACAAAAGAGGACATTTCACCCTATGAGCAAGAACAATGTAAGTATGTCCTTTCTCATTGCTCCTATTAAACATCATACTGGTAGCCCTAGCTGGTGCAATAAGACCAAAAAGTAAATAAAATATATACAGATTGGAATGGAGGAAATATAATTGTCTCTATTTTCAGAGGACATGATTGTCTATATAGAAAATGCCAAAATATTGACAAACACCTGGCCACAAAGTTTCAGGATGTAAGATTAATATACAAAAGTTAATTATTTTCCTATATACCAGATATGGACAATTGAAATTTGAAATTTAAAAATAGTTTATAACAGTACTCCTAAAATGCAGAATGTAAGTGTATTACAAATATGAAACAACCTTACTGAGAGGGATGGGAGGAATAAGGTGCCGACATAAGTAAGTTTGGAAATGAATGTAGTCTATAAGACTATAGGCAAAATTATCTCTGTATATAAATATTAAAAATATATAAAGAAGTAAACATATATAAAGATGTATATATGTATACATATATGTATATATATATACAGATTATTATATATCCATATGTCTCCTTACTCTGTCAACTCTGAGGGCCTAGAAGCAATGATATCCCAACAGTAATGAGTACACCTAGCACCCAGATCCTAGTTTTTAATACTATTCTCCAACTTAAGGTATCAGGACTCCTTGGAGAAATGGCTAATTCTAGAACTTAGGCAAGAAATATGCAAAACTAGTGTATCTTGTAGTGCCAGAAAGTGTTACACACACACACACACACACACACACACACACACACACACATCAAATAGATACAAAAGCCAACTGAAAGAGCTCCCTATGGCCAAAATTAAAATGGGTGCAATCGAAACATTAAAAGTAGCATTAGATTATAATCTAAAGTATCAAATAAATATTAATGAAACCATGCTGATATGAATAAATTAATAAAAGGGGGAGAAGTCAAATATCCCATGCAGAATTCCAAATAATTTTGAAGGTACTCTACCCTCAAGTAGGTAGAACACTCCTTAAGTGTGGACTGTGCATAGTGACTTTCTTCTAAAGAGTACATACAGCCCTGGCCAGCATTGCTCAGGGGCGGGAGGCAACTAATCGATTTGTCTCTCTCAGATTGATGTTTCTCTCCTCCCTCTCTCTCTCCTTTCCCCTCCCTCACATCCTCTCTAAAAATCAATGGAAAAAATATCCTCCCATGAGGATTAACAACAACAAAAAAGAGTATATACAATATGGAAAAGGAGATATAAAAGAGTAACTTTACCATGGAGAATCCTGGCAAACACTATCTCAGTCAGGTGACCAAAGTTAGCATCAACAGAGATAATACTGATATGTATATATCCTTTATATGATGTGATGAGAATGGCACTTTATCTCTGTGGTCCTCTTCCTAAAAGCACTTAACCCCTGTGTAATCACAAGAAAAAAAATCAAGCAAACCGAAATTGTGGGACATTATTCTTTTTTAAGATATCTTTTTATTGATTTCAGAGAGGAAGGGAGAGGGAGAGATAGAAACATCAATGAGAGAGAGCCACTGATGCCCCACACAGGGGATCAAGCCCACACCAGGGCATGTGCCCTGACCAGGAATCAAACCGTGACCTCGTGGTTTATAGGTCGACTCTCAACCACTGAGCCATGCCAGCCAGGCTTATTGTGGGACATTATACAAAATACCCAACCAGTACCTCTCAAGGGTGTCAAGAACATCAAAAACAGAGAAAGTCTGAGAAAACTGTCACAGCCAAGAGGAGCCTGAGAAAAGAATGACTAAATGTAAGGTGGGATCTATCCTGGATGGGATCCTGGAACAGAAAAAGGACATTAGGGAAAAATTGAGGAATATGAATACAATGTATACTTTGGTAAATAATAGTGTATTAATACTGGTTCATTGTGGCAAATATACCATACTATTTAAATGTTAATAATAGGGGATATTGAGTCTGGTGGTTGTGGCTCAGTTGGTTAGCCATTGTCCTGTGCACTGAAAGGTTGTTGATTTGATTCCAGCCAGGGCACATGACCGACTTTCCTGGCTTGATCCCCAGGAGGGGTCCTGCAGGAGACCGCTGATCATGTTTCCCTCTCACATCAATGTGTTTTTTTCTCTCTCTCAAAATCAATTTTAAAATAGGGGATATTGAGTATGGGGCACACGGAACTCTACCATCTTCACAATAATTCTGTAAAAATCTATGACTGCCTTAAAATAACTTTATTTTAAAAACAATATAAACCAACAAAAGGCTAAGAACCAGGGTGGTAGTGGTGGTGGGGGGGAACCACATGGGCCTGTTAAAATGGTAAGGCAGGGCTTAACAGAAATTTCCTGGGAGACAATTCCTTCGAAGAAAAAAAGAGTCAGCAGACAAGAGATTAACAGGTGAGAATAGCACAGCATCTGGTCAGTCAGATTTTTCTCCTGGTTCAATCTCCAGTATCTAAATCCAGTGAAGATTGCTGTATGCAAAAACACACACAAACCAACAAAAAAATTGGAAAGGAGTGTTTTCTAGGAACTTTTTAAAATATTAAGGTCCAAGTGACAAATGGGTACTACCCACCTGAGTTAGGGTTAACTCTATTGTAGACAGAGAATTCTCCACCCTTCTATTGAGATACTGTACTGCTTCAGTCCATCATGATCTCCGGCCCACCAGCAATAGGGGCCTTAGGTGGGTGCAGGACCCATGAGATGAGGCACAATGCCCAAGAGACATGGCATTAACCAGGAGAGAGTGGCAACTACCTCTCAGCTACCTGGACTTATTCCTGGACAAAAGTGGAACCTCCCTTAATCCTCTCCCAAACATCAAAAACAGGGAAAATTCAGGGGCTCTGGTCCTGCTAGTGCAGGGGAGAGGGTAGTAGCTAGCTAGCCCAATACAGTATCTCATCTGATCTTCTCCACAGTCCTGGAAGGCACGTTTATCCCCAATTCACAGATGACAAGATTATCCCTTACAACAATGCATATGTAACTATGAGGTTGATTCCTCCACAACTTTTGAGTCCCAGAAGTAATGTTTTACTTACCATTTCGCATGCTGAGAACAAGAATTTTAAGTGTCCCCAGGTTTTCCATAAGCACTGAACTGTTCTTCTGATTGCTTGGTATTTTTTTCCTATTTTTTATCTTTCATTATTTTTATGATGAAAGTAATATGAACAAGAAAATTACCCACAGATAACCACTATTAATCTTTTTAGTAGACACAGCTTTCAGAGGTGTTTTTTTCCTGTACATAGATCATTAGATAAATATCTTTGCAGTTTTACAAAAATGGATTGATGCCATATATATGGTTCTGCAAACTTTTCTTTTTAATTTTACAATGCATCATAAACATTATTCCATGCAATGGACAAAAATCTGCTACTGAAACATAGAGGGCTGCAGCTGGATAACAGAGTGACAACTAAAGCAAAACATTAGCATAAGGTTAAAGCCCTGGGCCTGGCAAATGCCTGCCATGGGCACTACACAAAAGGAATGTCTTCAAAGCCCCTTTGTGGGGCCCTACAGCCACCCCTGAGTTCCCTAGGGCCTCTGGGGTGGAAGGGGTCCTGTAAACTTTTTTGCATCCACATAAACCCCCCCAATTTCTGTCTGGTTTTCTTCACCTCATCCTCTACCCTAGCCATCTCATCAAATTCTCTTATCATCTCCTCATTGCTCAAATGCATATCGTGTATGGCCTCTTTGTATTCCTTGAGGCACTGAGCCAGCCCCTTGTTGGTTTTTCTTTTGGCTTTTCTAGGTACATCATCCCCAGCTGGGCGCTTTCCTGCAGCCCTTGGTTCAATGGCTGGTTTTCCTTCTTCTTTTGGCTTTCCCTCACTCTCTGGTTTTCCTTCTTCTTTTGATTTTCCCTGGCTCTCTGACTTTCCCTCTATCACTGGCTTTCCCTCCTTCTCTGGCTTCTCCTTATCCTCTAGTATTTCCTCATTTTCTGTCTCTCCCCTGTTTTCTATCTTTCCTTCATTTTCTGACTTTTCCTTGTCTTCCAGAGTATGAGCTACTTCTGGCGTTGCAGCATTCTGAGGCTGTTCATTTTCCATCTTTCCTGGATTCTCAGGCATTCCTTCATTTACACTGCAGAGTTTTTCCATGTTGAGATGTCCCCTCCTTTTCCTGTCCTGGGGGTGGGGTGGGGGAAAAAGGAGACACAGAGGAGACAAGGGAGACTGAGGACTTCAGGGTGGAATGCAGGTCTGGATAGTACTGGCATCTTGCCCCTTGTCAGGGTTCCCCTAACCGGGCCCCGCCCTCCTTCTGCCACCCTTTCCTCACCATTCCTTCCACACACGTGAGCCAACCATTTCTCTGGCAGGCCCTGCCATTTTCTCTACATTTGCTCGGCGTGGCAGTGTGTGTGTAAATGTGTTGGAGGAGGACAGCGGGACCCCAAATTCTTCTTGGGACGTGCCGCCCACACTCCCCGCCCCTTTGGGACACCCCTCCTTTAACTGACCTGCGGGAATTCTGGATAGGTTCCTTCCTTTTCTAGCCTAGCCGAGTGCTGAGAACAACAGACACGCAGACCTGCAGACAAACAGGGGAGACAGTAGCACAGGGACTCCGATCCCTTTCCTGAATCCTGGCCCTAGTCACCCAACGTTTTCCTCCCGGATCTCCTCCGCTCCCCACACCCCAGACGCCATTTCTTGCCATTTCTTTTCACGCCTGGGGCGCCAGATCAGGACGTTTTCCACCCTAATTTTGGATTTCTGCGTCCTTCTCTCCCTGAGGCAATTCGCCTCCCCACCATGAAGGTCAACTTTTTTTTCTAGGCACAGAGTAGACGAGGGGGTTAATCTCCACTGTCTCACTGCTGGGGTGTCCCCCAGTTCACCATCTCCGACTCCAAAATGGACGGAGGGCAGCGAGAAGGGGGTGCAGAGAAAGGGGGCATGGGTACTTGGGGGTGTCCGCCTTCCCCACCCTCCACCCATCGGCCGCTCGCTCCCTCTTAGTCATTTCCCCACCGCCATCTCTATCTATAGTCAGGCCGGCTTCCCTCCACCCCGACCCCATCCCCAACCTTTTTCCTTTCCGTGCCCATTCCTTCTCGCCCATTCCAGTATTCCGCGGGCAGCGAGGAATGCCCTTGCACTGACCTGAAAGAACCTGGAGCAGCAATTAGGAGTTCGCAAGCAGCTCGGGTCGGACCGCAGCGAAGGAAGGCGGGCACCCGGACTGGTGCCCAAAGCTGCGCCCCGGCAGATCACGTGAGCGTGCGTCCCCCGAGCTCCGCCCACTAGCCAGGACTGCCAGCCACACACCGCCTCTTTCCCGCAGGTCCCCCTTTACCTCCCTGGGCCCTTTTGTCTTTTACCTCTTCTTCAGAAGTTTGTCAAAGAAAGAATTTTAAGGAAAACCGCAGAGACTTTTTTTCTTCAATGGGTTGGGCGGTCCAGGGGAAGAGTCTTAAGAATGTTGCTCTTCAATTCCATTGAAAGAACGAAGACCAACCCCCATAAAATGGTAAGAATGTGAACTTTAATATTGTACAAAGAGCAGAATGTTGAATTTAGAAAAAAATAGGAACAATATTTCCCTCAAAATGAAATGTTCCTTTTTTCCTTACATACACAAACATAAAATTTCTAATGAATTAGTATTTAAATCTAAATGAAATTATACTTGAAGTGGAATAAAAGAATGATTGAATATAACACAGACAATGACCAGACCATATATGACAATAGAACTGTGACCCGCAACCTCTACAGCAAGCAGCCCAGGAAGCCAAACAGCCTCTGCTTCAAACTTCAGGACTTGAACAATGACTGCAGCCAACCCAGTCATAAAAAATGCCTTGCTTCTAGTTAACGTTCCTCCAGGTTCCCCATGCCAATGACCTCTAATCAGAATACCTGAAGCCTTCCCTGTTTTCACTCTAAAGCTTTCCTATTCCCCTGCCTGCCTTTAAGTTTGCCAAACACAAGTGAAAGTGCCTGACTCTCTTGTTATAACAAGATCTGAATAAGTAGCCACTGTTTCCACATAAGTTTTTTGTGTGGAAGGCTTTTAAAAATATAACAGAGATAAACACTTAAGGAAAACAGTGCCCTAGCCGGCATCGATATTTCTCTCTGGCTTTCCCTCTCTCTTCCACTCTCTCTAAAATCAATGGAAAAATATCCTCTGGGTGAGGGGAAAAAAAAAGGACAACAGTGATAGGTTTGATTACAAGAAACTGTGTAATAGATTTGTTGAGGGATTAGGGAACACATGCACTTTTCCCTGCCCTTGTTGAGTGTGTTGGTAAAATTTTTCTGAAGGGCAATTCTATATAATAAAGAGGTGATATGCAAATTGACCATCATGCCCTAGCACAAGATGGCTGCCCTCATGTGGTAACAGGATGGCTGAACCCATGTAGCCACAAGATGGCCGGCAGGGGAGTGGTTAGGGGGTGATCAGGCTGGCAGGCAGAAGGGGTTAGGAGCAATCAGGCAGGCAGGCAGGTGAACAGTTGGGATCCAGCAGTCCCGGATTATGAGAGGGATGTCCAACTGCCAGTTTAGGGATCAGGCCTAAACCGGCAGTCTGACATCCCCCAAGGGGTCCCAGATTGGAGAGGGTGCAGGCTGGGCTGAGGTACACTCTTCTCCGCCCCCTCCCCGTGCACGAATTTTGTGCACTGGGCCTCTAGTTTTCTATATTGTTTTAAAATAAAAATATTTGCTCTAGCCAGTTTGGCTCAGTGGATAGAGCATTGGCCTGCAGAACAAAGGGCACACATACCTCGGTTGCAGGCTTCTTCCCAGCCCCAGCCCTGGTCCAGGGCTTACAGGAGGCAACCAATCAATGTGTTTCTCTCACATCAATGTTTCTCTCTGTCCTTCCCTCTCTCTTCCACTCTCCCTAAAAATCAATGGAAAAATACCCACAGGTGAGGATTAACAAAATAAAAATATTTGATATTTTGGTTCAGTAATTCCACTTCCAATATTTTTCCAGGGAGATAATTAATAATGCATTAAAATATAAACTTATGTTTTAAAATATTTTATGTTTTAAAATTCCCATAACAATTGTTTTTTATACATTTATTCTTTGCTGAAACTAAGGCTTCATGAGTGATTCTGTAGGCTTTGTTTACAATAGGGGGAAATGGAACATCAAAATTGTCCATCAGTACAGATTTAGTTAAATAATCTTCTTAGTACATTTGTTTACCTTGGGTATCTTTGGATACTTGGTTTAGAAAAATAATTATTTTTTTATGTTGGGTGCTCAATACACAGTAAATATAATTATAAACTGTCATAAATCCCATATTACTCTGGGTAGTGGGACACAACATATAACCACAGGATGTGGTATTGTCCTCTAGAGAATGCCACCTATGTGCCAGGCACTGTGCTAACTACCTGATCTTATCTGATATGGATTTCATTTATACCTGATTGAGGAACTCATATTTCTTTTTATAAATATATTTTTATTGATTTCAGAGAGGAAGGGAGAGGGAGAGACAGAGACAGATAGAAACATTAACAATGAGAGAGAATCATTGATTGGCTGCCTCCTGCATGCCTCCACTGATGATCGAGCCAGCAACCAGGGCATGTGCCCTGATTGGGAATCAAACAGTGATCTCCTGGTTAAAAGTTGACTCTCAACCACTGAGCCACACTGGCTGGGTGGGAACTCATATTTCTTTCTTTTTAAAAAAACCTTTATTGTTGAGACTATTGCAGATGCGCCTCCCCACATTGTCCCCTCCACCTGGTTCCTGCCCAGCCCCAGGCCTTCACTACCCTACTGTCTGTGTCCATAGGTAAGATCTTTGGTTAATTTCTTCGCCCTTCCTTCTGAGATTCATCAGTTTGTTCCATGCTTCCATGCCTCTGATTTTGTTCTATTTACCAGTTTATTTTGTTCATTAGATTTCTTATTGATTTATTTTGATTTTTAGATTTGATTGTTGATAGATATGTATTTATTGCCATTTTATTGCTCATATTTTTATCTCTTCTTTTTCTTCTTCTATATCCTTCAACATTTCATATAATGCTGGTTTGGTGGTGATGAACTCCTTTTTCTATGAAGCTCTTTATCTGACCCTCAATTCTAAATGAGAGCTTTGCTGGGTAGAGTAATCTTGGTTGTAGGTCCTTACTATTCATCATTTGGAATATTTCTTGCCATTCCCTTTTGGCCTG